CCCTAGCAAGTTGTTCACTCTGTTGGAAAAGGCAGTGCCTAGGAGGCGCTTAGGCACGCCTAGGCGCTAGGAAATGGCCAAACGCCTCACATAGGGCATATGCAGAAGTCTAGGCAGAGCAAGAAAATTTGTCTACCCAAACGAGAAATCATGCCATATTGCACTAGTATGACAAAAGGGCCATATTCCAATCATAGTAGCTGGTCGTTAACATACTTATATGCCCTAAATTAATAAAATACACATATAATAACCACATATACACCCTAATAGTAAAAGTTATATAACCGCCTAGGTTGTGCCTAGGGCGCTTAAGCACCGCCTAGGCACTAGGCAAAGGCCAACCGCCTCGCTTATGCCTACCGCTTTTTCCAACCTTGGTTGTTCATCAAGAAATTAACCAAGTGGTACGGTAGTATCAAGCATAGAAGTAGTTTCATCATAAGTATCATGCATAGCAGAAGTGGCATCATCAATAACATGCGACATATCAGAATTAATCGCAGAAGCAAGTTTAGGTGTCGCAAGCTTACTCAAAACAGAAGGTGAATCAAGTGCAGAGCTAGATGGCAGTTCCTTACCTCCCCTCGTAGTTGAGGGATAAATCTTGGTTCTTGGATCTTTCAAGTTCTTCATAATGATAAGCAGATATAAATCCCAAGTGACTCAAAGAATAGAGCTATGCTCCCCGGCAACGGCGCCAGAAAATAGTCTTAATAACCCACAAGTATAGGGGATCGCAACAGTTTTCGAGGGTAGAGTATTCAACCCAAATTTATTGATTCGACACAAGGGGAGCCAAAGAATATTCTCAAGTATTAGCAGCTGAGTTGTCAATTCAACCACACCCGAAAACTTAATATCTACAGCAAAGCGTTTAGTAGCAAAGTAATATGATAGTAGTGGTAACGATAGAAAAAGGTAACGGTAGCAAAAGTAATATTTTTGGTGTTTTGTGGTGATGATAACAATAGCAACGGAAAAGTAAATAAGCGAAGAACAATATATAGAAAGCTCGTAGGCAATGGATCTGTGATAGAGAATTATGTCGGGTGCGATCGATCATGTAACAGTCATAACCTAGGTGACACAGAACTAGCTCCAATTCATCAATGTAATGTAGGCATATGTATTCCGAATTTAGTCATACGTGCTTATGGAAAAGAACTTGCATGACATCTTTTGTCCTACCTTCCTGTGGCAGCGGGGTCCTAGCGGAAACTAAGGGATATTAAGGCCTCCTTTTAATAGAGTACCGGACCAAAGCATTAACACATAGTGAATACATGAACTCCTCAAACTACGATCATCACCGGTAAGTATCCCGATTATTGTCACTTCGGGGTTAACGGATCATAACACATAATAGGTGACTATAGACTTGCAAGATAGGATCAAGAACTCTCATATATTGATGAAAACATAATAGATTCAGATCTGAAATCATGGCACTCGGGCCCTAGTGATAAGCGTTAAGCATAGCAAAGTCATAGCAACATTAATCTCAGAACATAGTGGATACTAGGGATCAAACCCTAACAAAACTAACTCGATTACATGATAAATCTCATCCAACCCATCACCTTCCAGCAAGCCTACGATGGAATTACTCATGCACGGTAGTGAGCATCATGAAATTGGTGATGGAGGAAGGTTGATGATGACGCTGGCGACGGATTCCCCTCTCCGGAGCCCTGAACGGACTCCAGATCAGCCCTCCTGAGAGAGTTTAGGGCTTGGCGGTGGCTCCGTATCGTAAAACGCGATGAATCCTTATTCCTGGTTTTTTCTCCCCGAAAGTGAATATATGGAGTCAGGGTTGAGGTCGGTGGAGCTTCATGGGGCCCACGAGGCAGGGGGCGCGCCTAGGGGGTAGGGCGCGCCTCCCACCCTCGTGGACAGGTGGAGGCCCCCCTGACGTGGATCTTCCTTCCCGTATTTTTTATATATTCCAAAATAATTCTCCGTTGATTTTCAGGTCATTCCGAGAACTTTTATTTCTGCACAAAAATAACACCATGGCAATTCTGCTAAAAACAACGTCAGTCCGGGTTAGTTCCATTCAAATTATGCAAGTTAGAGTCCAAAACAAGGGCAGAAGTGTTTGAAAAGTAGATACGACGGAGACGTATCAAAGGCCCGGCCATAAGGCTTGGGGCTCAAGCTCCATCTTCGACCCATGCAGCGCTAAAACGGCTGCTACTTATTACAGGCCCGAGGGCAATGAACAATATCAAAAGAGCTAAAATTTAACGAGGCAAAAAGCTTGATCTCCTTAAACAAGACACCATTTGGAGCGAGGTCATAACTCGAGAACTTGATCGCCTGGACCAGCAACATCGCATCAGTTTCCACAACTGCGCGGCCAATGCCCATTTCTTGCGCCTTGTAAATTGCATGGATGCAGGCTTCCGCTTCCGCTTGTAATGCATCAGAGACATAGTTCAGGCGCCCAGTAGTAGCAATCACAACATCACCATCATGGTCCCGTATGACATATCCTGAGGCGCCAGATATTGTCTCCTTGTTAAAACTGCCATCCACATTTATCTTGAGTATGCCCTCGGTAGGTTTTGTCCAACCTTCCGGTTGTTTCACTGTCTCCTGTTTCTCCCTCCCGAAAAAGTTTTTATACTCCTCTGTTGTACTCTTGATCTGCCACAACAAAGCATTGATCTCAATTTTTTCTTCTTTTCTGCTCGATGTTTGTTTCTAGCGTTCCACCAAAACCACAACAGGGCTAATATACTAGTAGTTTGATCAAGACTTCCTTGAAGCAGAGTCTTCACAACTTCCTTTGGGTCATGTAGAGCCATACACTCAGTTCGAAACTTCGAATATGCTCCAAATCCATCTCTCTCCAGTGACCTCGTACCATTGTGCATTGAAATAACAGGTGGCTTCCATCTTCATCCCATCTATGGCAGACTGGGCACAACGTATCAACATCAATACCTCTTCTCTTTAGATTGACGCGCACCGGCAGACTGTTAGTTGCTATTCACCACATAAACTGTTGGACTTTCATAGGGCATGGCGCTTGCCAAATAGACTTCCAACTGAAACTATCAAGTTCCTGGTTTGAGCTACCTTCCTCCCCTGCGCGGACCAGCTCCATCCGTTTGCAAAGTTTGTATGCAGATTTCACTAAGAAGCATCTGCGGTGATCCGGGTGCCAAGCCCATCCGTCCTCCATTTCATCCTTAATCGGGAGTGCCAGGATAAGGTTGGCGTCCGGAGCCCAAAAGATCGATTTTACGAGTTGTTCATCCCACGTCGCTGTGTATGGGTTCATGAGTTCCGCTGCCGTTGTAACGACGATGTTCCTCCGTGGCGTGAAAGGCTTTCTATCCCAGTTCCGTGGGAGCCATGGGTCCTCCCAGATTTTTACTGTTGTGCCATCCCCCACTCGCTTGATAATTCCTTGCTTGAGCACCTCCATTCCTTGCAGAATGCTCATCCATGCATATGATATCCCATCTTTTGCTACAACATGGAAGATGTCTGAATCTGGGTAGTGCCTAGCCTTTAAAACCCGGGCACAGAGTGAGTCCGGGTTATCGAGCAACCGCCAAGCCTGCTTAGCTAGCATGGCTAGATTAAAAGTGTGGAGATCCTTAAAACCTAACCCCCCCCCCCTCCTTTTTTGATCTTGTGAGTTTTTCCGCGGATAGCCAATGTATCGTCTGATCATCCCCTGTTGCGCCCAGAAAAACCTACAGATCATCGCTGTCATTTGCTCGCAGATCCCCTTTGTGATATCAAAAACCGACATTGCAAAAATTGGAATAGCTTGGGCACACGCTTTTATACGGATCTCCTTCCCAGCCTTAGTTAGCAGTTTCTCTAGCCATCCCTGTATACATTTCCATATTCTATCCTTCAAGTATGCAAATGATTTTGTTTTGGATTGGCCGACATAAACCGGAAGCCCCAGATATCTCTCGTTTCCAAGTCTCCCTAGTCAGACCCATGCGTTCCATCATCCTTTTGCGAATCTCTATTTTTGTGTTCTTACTGAACATGATGGTTGATTTATCCACATTGATTGTTTGCCCCGAGCAGTCTTCATATAGTTTCAGGATATTTTGCAGGTGAAGTATACTATCTTCTGAAGCTTTCAGAAGAGTTAACGAGTCATCTGCAAACAATAGATGATTAAAGCTTGGTGCATTGCGACATATCTTTACTCCTTCCAGCAGTCCACCTTGTTCGCCACTATTTAGCAGACAAGAGAAGGCTTCCGCACAAAGCAGAAATAGATACGGCGAGATTGGGTCTCCTTGCATTAGTCCTCTCTCCGGGTTTAGCTCCTCTGTGAGAGTATCATTAAATCTGAATCTGTAGTTCACCGTGGTACAACATTTCATGACCAGCCTCACCCAGTTCTCTGCAAATCCTATTTTTTCATCATTGCTTCCAGAAAATGCCACTCAACTCTATCATATGCCTTACTCATGTCGAGTTTGATGGCCGCATACCCCCTGCACCAGACCTGTTGTTCTGCATAAAATGAGTTACTTCATAGGCTAACAGTATGTTATCCGTGATAAGTCTTCGGGTACAAAAGCACTCTGATTGGGGGCGATCACTTCGTGGAAAAAGAGATGATGAACCGTACCTGGTACTTCCTTTGTAAACTAATCTAGCGTTTAGATCTAAAAGTTTTTATATTAGTTTACACAGGAAGTAGTAATTTTCTCTACCGAATCGGTTAATAGCAGAGACAAGTAATGTCGAAAAAAAAAATACAGCACAGAGAAGTACGCGGCTAAACGAGCGGGGTAAATTGTCCACTCCTAATCAAAAGCATATCCTATTATAGGCGAAGGCTCCCCCAAAATGGGCAGATCAACAGCCCGCGATAGTACAGCCGAGCTCAAAACAGAGCGCGGACACCCAACCGACGAACCAGAGAGAGCGAAATAGGCCGGTCTCCTGCCTATAAACACCCGGCGGTCTCCGTTGGGAGCTCCGCCATTTTTCCTCCCGCGAGCAAAATGGCGCTGAGAGCGCTGCGCCTCTCCGTCGTCGTCGTCGCGGTCGTCGCCCTCTCCGCGCTCCCGCGGCGGGCCGACGCCGCCCCGGGCATCCGGCCAGGGCACAAGGAGGCGGACGTGATCGTCGCGCTGCCGGGGCAGCCGCCGGCCGTGCAGCTGCGGCAGTACTCCGGCTACATCCACGTCAACCGGGCCGCGGGGAAGTCGCTCTTCTACTACTTCGTGGAGGCGCCCGTCGACCCCGCTCACAAGCCGCTCGTCCTCTGGCTCAATGGAGGTAAAAGAAAGAACATATACATTTCTTCATAGGGGAGGAGGAGAATCTGTACGTAGCCAGGATGCTTTCTAACGTGCAATCGGATCAATGCATGTGGTAAGAGTTACGTTCATCGATCGGTTAATTTTATTGATTGACAGGGCCTGGCTGCTCTTCCTTCGGGATTGGAGCGTTCCAGGAGGTTGGCCCCTTCCGTGTCGACACGGAAGGCAGGACCCTCTGCCCGAACCCCTACTCCTGGACCGCCGGTCAGTCCCCCACCCTCAACAGCTTGCCGGTCGATGGCATTTCAACTGTGCTAACAAAATGGCCGGCGTGGTGTTGGGTGGTGCAGCGGCGAACCTGCTCTTCCTGGAGAGCCCCGTGGGCGTGGGCTTCTCCTACGCCGTGAACGAGGAGGTGTACAAGACCATGGGGGACAACATGACCGCCATCGACTCGCACATCTTCCTGCTCAGGTGGTTCGACCGCTTCCCGGAGTACAAGGGCCGCGAGTTCTTCATCGTCGGCGAGAGCTACGCCGGCCACTACATCCCCGAGCTGGCCGTCACCATCGATGTCCAGAACAAGAACCCCAAGCTCACCCCCATCAACCTCAAAGGAATCTCCGTGAGTACTGCCCATCAGAGCCAACAATTGTCCGTCAGCTTGAGATCGATGAGTAGTAACACGTGTGTCTCAGATCGGGAACGGCATACTGGAGTTCGCGGAGGAGCAGGCGGAGCTGTATGAGTACCTGTGGCACCGCGCCTTCATATCGGACGCGGCGCACGACACCATCGCCAAGCACTGCAAGGGCCCCGACGACCTGTCCACCGTCTGCCAGGCGGCCAGGGACACCGCCTACGGCAACACCGGCGACATCAGCGCCTTCAACGTCTACGCGCCTACTTGCCACGACAAGAAAGTCAGGCCAACAGACTCCAAGTGCACGGTATGTACCACTGTACATGCTACTTGAACTACTGGTTGATATGAGCGGCAGCTGCACTGAACGGAGTACATGCATTGGTGTGCAGGACATTGCTGGTCCGTGCCTCGCACACTTTGTGGAGGCGTACTTGAACCAGCGCCAAGTGCAAACGGCGATCCACGCCAACACGGCGCTCAAGTATCCGTGGGTCGGGTGCAGAACCCGGACGTACAACCTGAAACGCTTCGGGGACTCGCCGACGTCGATGCTGCCGCACCTCAAGGCCCTGGTCACCACCGGCATCCGCATCTGGCTATTCAGGTCAGAAGCACTTCTCTTCAGTCGATCCTACCGGTGTGAAGATCACTAGTGAGAGCATTGCCGTGGCGGTGCAGCGGCGACTTCGACGCGATGGTGCCGGTGACGGCGACGAAGCGGTCGGTGGAGAAGCTGCAGCTGGGCGTGGAGAAGGACTGGCGGGCGTGGTCGCCGGGGCCGGGCAAGGACGTGGCCGGGTACGTGATCGCGTACAAGGGGCTGGTGCTGGCCACGGTGCGCGGCGCCGGCCACATGGTCACCGTCGACCAGCCGGAGCGGGGGTTCGCGCTCTTCACGTCCTTCCTCCGAGGCGAGCCGCTGCCGTCCGCAGCGCCGCAGACCGACTGAGGCTGTTGGCAGGGCGTGTGCGTGCCTCGCGTGTGTATGATGATGATCGATGGTTGGCTTGGCTTGTGCTGCTGCCAGTGGTGGGTGTGGGGAAACTCCTGTACGTACGTAGCCCTTTGGCGCTGACTGATATTACTCACACTTGATTGGCTTCTCTCTCCACCCTACTCGTGTACCCCCGTGGATTGTTTATCATGCACACGGCGGCGCCATGGCGGCGGCACAGCGCATACGTATGCTTCATGGATGACTAGAACGTGAAGGTTGTTGACAACAGTTTTTGACACAGAAGAAAACGTAATCAAGATGGCCTCAAATGAAAGAGTGTCCAATATGAAAACATTCCGTATGGTCAAAATGAACATTTTTAATGTTTGGGTCATCACCATCCGATCTCATCTCGCGGGCCGAAGATGTGCTCGGAGCATTTGGAGTACTGTTTAGCTGATTACACGTCCAACAAAACCTCAGATGAAAAACTATTCTACATGGATTGTCTTCGCCTCGTTGAGGCGATTGATTTTTGAATTTTGAATCATTTCAATCTGAGGCCATATGCAAAAGTTACAGCCACAACTACGCGATGCAACGGTAGATGGTCGGATTGTTCGGGTTGGAAACCGGGTGATCCGGCCGCCAAACGTCGGAGCTATTGTCCAGGCAAACAACAGAAGGTTCGAATTAAAGTCGGACGATCTGGGATGAAACCCGGACAATCCTGATAAACGTCTGGCTCGGAGTCCAGACATCCGGCAATGATTCACGTTTTCCTCTGTTGTTGCAGAAGTGATGGCCTTGAATTGAAAAACGTTCAACATAAAAGTTGTCCGTCTCGTCAAAGAGGACAAATTTGCTCTTGGGAGTATCTCCATCAGATGTCTTGTGCGCCCTGTGGGTCCCAAAAACTGATCTGATGTCTTATACCTATCTAAATCCAAGTTCGGTTAATTTTGGAAGGATTTGTAGTCCTTTTAGTGTACGGAAAGTCCAGGCGTCTCATAAAGAGATGACAGGTGATGGCCGATTAAACAACACGCAATCGATCTATCATATACCAATCATAGCGTTAATGCCTTTTGCTGGTTAGTTTCATTATCACAAAGCCGCTCCCAAATTGGCATCCTCTATGGCCGTCATACAAATGAAGGCCACCATCTTCATCCACATATTGTTTGCACCACATCCTTCCTTCCTAGGTGAAAGGATCGATATGGTTGACTAGAGGGGGGGGGGGGTGAATAGGCAACTACCAATTTTTAGCTTTTCTTTACCAAATTAAACTTTGCATCAAAGTAGGTTGTCTAGATGTGCAACTAGGTGAGCAACCTATATGATGCAATAACAACACGCATACAAGCAAGCAAGGGTAGAAACACTAAAGAGCTTGCACAAGTAAGGGTAAGAGATAACCAAGAGTGGATCCGGTGAAGACGAGGATGTGTTACCGAAGTTCCTTCCTTTTGAGGGGAAGTACGTCTCCGTTGGAGCGGTGTGGAGGCACAATGCTCCCCAAGAAGCCACTAGGGCCACCGTATTCTCCTCACGCCCTCACACAATGCGAGATGCCGTGATTCCACTATTGGTGCCCTTGAAGGCAGCGACCGAACCTTTACAAACAAGGTTGGGGCAATCTCCACAACTTAATTGGAGGCTCCCAACAAGACCACGAAGCTTCACCATAATGGAATATGGCTCCGAGGTGACCTCAACCGTCTAGGGTGCTCAAACACCCAAGAGTAACAAGATCCGCTAGGGATGAGTGGGGTAATCGAAAATCCCTTGGTGGAAGTGTAGATCGGAGCCTTCTCAACCACTCCCGAGCAAATCAACAAGTTTGATTGGCTAGGGAGATAGATCGGGCAAAATGAAGCTTGGAGTATTTAATGGAGCTTGAGCAATAAATGGAGCTTGGGGGAGGAAGAGGTAGGTGAGAAGGAGGAAGGGGACTCCCTTTTATAGTGGGGGCAACAATCCCGTTGCCCCCCACCAACCAGCCCCGCACAGGGCGGTACTACCGCTGAGAGGGGGCGGTACTACCGCCAGGCGACGGTACTGCCGCGCCAGCCAGCGGTACTGCCGCGCTGAGGAGACTTAGTAGGGAACAGACCCAAATGCGGTACTACCGCGGTGGTAGGGCGGTACTACCGCTCCTGGAACGGTACTACCGCCACTACAACCGTGACTAGTGCCGCAAAACCCGACACGAGAAAAAGACCTCTCAAATCGAGGCGGTAGGAGCCAGACTACCCAGCGGTACTACGGTAGTGGGGTCAAGGGCGGTAGTACCGCTGTGGAGCGGTACTGCCGCTTGTGACCCTTTGGCCGTAGTACCGCAGGCAGTGCGATACTACCGCTGGGGCGCGTGAGAGAGAGAAAGGGTCTCTCAAATATGCTGAGGACAAGGCGGAGGTGCCAGGCCCCCAGCGGTACTACTGCTATGGAGCCAAGGGCGGTACTACCGCTGCGGAGCGGTACTGCCGCTTGGCTCCTCAGCGGTACTACCGCTGGGTGCACGGTACTACCGCTTAGACCTAGACAGGACAAGGAAGAGAGGAGAGATCTCTTCAATGGAAAGGAAATGCTCGGAGGGTGAGAAGCTGATGTGTACGTGATGATTCCACCAATGCAAAACCCCAGCAGACCCCCTCTTGATAGTACGGTGCCCTCTACGCAACTAGTCCACCGAGAAAGAAACGAAAGAGCTACACCATCTTGAAATACATTCCGAGGGGAAGAAGGCGTCTCGTGCCAGGGGAGAATCTGTGAATTATTCAAAGCACAAGATTAGTCCGCAAACATGCTGTCATCAATCACCAGAACTACCTTGAGAGAGATATGTTGTAACAATCTCCCCCTTTTTGGTGGATTGATGACAACTAGGGATTTGCGCAAGGAAAAGAAATAAAACGAAGAAAGCTAAGAACTACAAAATATAGATGGGCTCCCCTAGAATGTGTGCACCAAGAGATGGCACGACCCACACATTCGGATCAACACTCCCCCTATATTTTATAGTCCAACAATACTAAGCACAAGATATATGAGAGAATTGAATAAACAAGACAAGCATGCATCGCACAATAAACTACAATACTCAGACATGACATAAGTAATAAGGTAGCGATAGGGAGCATATGTCTCACACCATATGTCTAGAGCTTAGGTCTCACACCAAACCAAACCAAAGAAGGACACCAAGAGAACACACAAGAAACCACAAGACGACTCAAAACACGACACAAGAAGCAAATCCCTACACTCTCTCCCCCTTTGGCAGCGAGACACCAAAAAGGGCATAGAGTGACACTACGACTCCAGGTGATGGGAGGTGGAAGAGCTTGAACATCACATCTCTGCATCTTCATCGTGGGTCGAAAACTGCTCAGCATCGGAGTCGGTCCAGTGGCAATTCTGATGAATCCAGTCCTTCTCTTTAGTGATCTGACCCTCAGACCCACTGGCAACTGTTGTTCCCATCTGACGCATGAGCTCCATGTGGCGCGTCCTGGCATGCTTCTCCACCACATGAGTCATGTACTGACCATGAGACTCCATGTAGAAAAGCTTCTTCATCTTGCGCTTAAGCTTCTGTGCCCACGACGATTCTGCACTAGAGGGGCCAAAGTTCTCCTCATGATCATCAGTAACAGCCTCACCCTCGGTCCCCATGGCAGCAGCAACAGCATCAGCAGACGGACCCCCTGTGGCAGCAGTAGCAGATGGACCTCTTGTGTGAGGCGCTGTCCAGTTGTCCTTCTTCCTCACACGCTTGATCTCATGAGACACCAAGTCTCCAGTCTCTAGCAACACTCTGGGATAAGTCTGTGCCGAGGCCCTCTCAATGAGCCTCATGATGAATGGACCATAGATAGGACACTTGCGCTCAGACACGGCAGATAGAAGTTCAGACCACATGACATGAGAGATATCCAGGCTCTCTCCAGTGCTTGCTTCCTTCTCATGCTGACAGAAAAGGAGCATGTCCACGAGGTAAGAGTGGACCATATCCAGATTCTCGATCCGAGGGAAGAGAGTCTCACGGGATATGCGATGAAGAATGTCCAGATATGGAGACAACTCATAGGTCTTCTTCTCAGTTACTGGGTGAACCTTCACAGTGCAGTAGGGCCAAAGGGCTTGCTTGTGGGTGGATATTGCATTGCGGTGAGGACGGAAACCGACAGGAGTCTCAAGCCCGTTGTCCACCACATCAAGTAACCCCATGAACGCCTGCCACTTGACAGAAAGCAGCTTGCCATTGGTCATCCATGTCAGAGTCCTGTCGACATCCGTCCCAAGATGGATAGTGGCATAGAATTGGGCCACCAAATCCGCATCGAAATCCTTGTTGAATTGCATGATCCTGAGAATGTTCAATTGAGTGCACATCTGAAGGGCTTCGCCAAAGTACTCTGGGTCCTTCTCCATAGCATCAGTATCAATGGAGCAAACATCAACAAAAAGATTCTTCTTGGCCTTGATCACATCAAAGTAGATGGCAAACTGAAAACGGTTCCAGAACGGGCGGTTGACCAAAGTGGGTTCTTGGGCCACCGCGTAGGGGTTGTGGCGACGCTTCTCCCAAAACTCCTTGTTGGTCATCTCAGTCACAGTCTTCCCTTTGGGTTTGTGGGCGGCTTGCTTCAATTGCTAAGGAGGTGGAGGAACACTTGCAGATGCACTTGCTGGAGGCGGTTGGGTGCTCGAGGAACCACCGGCTGCCTCTGAGGTGCGGTAGCGTTTTGATGTGGCACGCCCGGGGTTGATACGGCGACCTTGCTGCTCGGAAGGGTCATCACCTAGATCCAAACACAAGAACACGCAAAACAACCAGAAAGAACGAGCATAAGCCAACAAACTCAACAAAAGATCAAGGTAGGGCAGGAAAATGATGAAAATTGGCATGCAGCGGTAGTACCGTGACCTGCCCGCGGTAGTACCGCCCCAAGCGGTAGTACTGCCCCAGAGGGAGCGGTAGTACTGCTCTAGGTCAAGCAGTA